TTATGATAATTATGGTATAATGGGCCCCAAAACCCTATTCTAGTTGTTAAGGCCCCTGATCCCTAAACCCTTATCGCAGCCTTTTAAGGAACCCTTGAAAGGAACCCCCAAGGAACCCTATTCTAATTATTAAGGCCCCTTTATATTAACCCTCCCGCACCCGAAACCCTAAACCCTAAACCCTAAACCCTAAACCCTAAACCCTAAACCCTAAACCCTAAGTCCTAAACCTAAACCCTAAGTCCTAAACCTAAACCCTAAGTCCTAAACCTAAACCCTAATCCCGCCTTCTTCCTGCTCACCGTGCTCCTTCGACGAGCTCTTGCAGTGTCTGGTTTCCATCTTCCGGGTTCACAGAGTGGCCACAATAAGGGGTTTAGGGGTTTAGGGTTTAGGGTTTAGGGACCATAAGATAGGGGCCTAAATAATTGCCTATACTATTTTGGGGTTTCCTCATTATGATTATAGTAGAACCCTATTCTAATTATTTAGGCACATACATTAACCACGGCTTGTGACGATAATGACGTTGCTGATGGTGTGTCCCAGCTATGGGAGGCTGATGCAAAGATTGGTGATTACTGATTTAGATTGCAACGATGGTGAGGAAGACGATGACGGTGGTGGTGATGATGCTGAAAGTCTTGTGGCTGATGATGGTCATGGGCATCGCCTGTCACATGAGACAGAGCTTAGATGTTATAGAAGGCATGAGTCACAAGGACACTGGCTTGAAGTATGAGCTGTAATTTTCTTATCACTTCAGAGGTCGCTACCTGCCCACCGCTGACTGAGTTTAGGGTTTAGTGTTTCGGTCCACCTCGACCCTCCAATTACCCTCGATTCCGAAGTCGTCTCACGATGAGGAACGACAACGGCTGTATCAAAGTGTACCTGGGAGGCTTCTGGTATATCCTAACCCGAACCTCGCTTACTATATACCTCAAATGCCCTGAACCTCAAAAGCCAATAACCCTCAATACATTAAACGCCGTATCATTCATGCCCGCCCCCCCTTCCTAAACGTCCAAAGCCCTAAAAAGTATCCACAAAGCCGAAACCCCAAAAACCTAAACCCCGAATGCCCTGACCTTCGCCCGAAAAGCGTCTAACCCCCTGAAACTCCAATACCCGAAGGGGGCCTTCAGAAAACCGAAACCATAAAACCGGAAATACCCTGAAACCCGAAGCCCTAAATCTAGATCCTTGTCCTTGTTGCAATTTTTCAGAATTTTGTTATAATAAGACCTAATGAGGATTACAAATGACCATTTTTAATATAGCTCCAACAGGGAACCAGAAACCCTAAACCCTCAAATCCTAAACCCTCAACCCTCAACCCTAAACCCCCAAAACCGAACCCCTAAACCCCAATTCTTAAACCCTAAACCCTTAAACCCTAAAGCCCTAAACCCCTAAAGTCCTAAACCCCTAAAGCCCTAAACCCCCGAAACCCTTAAACCCTGAACCCCTAAAGCCCTCAACTCTGAAACGCTTAAACCCTAAACACTGAACCCTTAACCCTCAACTCCTAAACCCTAAAACCCTAAACCCTAAGTTCTTAAACCCTTAAACCCTAAATCCCTAAACCCCTCAACTCTGAGAAACCCCAAACCCTAAATCCTAAACCCTAAAACCCTAAAAACCCTTAAACCCTTAAACCCTAAACCCTTAAAACCCTAAACCCCTAAAACCCTTGAACCCTAAACCCTAAAACCCTTAACCCTAAAACCCTCAACTCTGAGAAGCCTAAAACCTTCAGCTCTGAAAAGCCCCAAAGCATCTCCGCCCACGAGGATCACTCGAAGCCACGAGTTCGAAGTCGGCGACCTCGAGGCTGCTTGGGCTTTAGGTTTTTTTGGTTTAAGAATTTCCGGTGTTTAAGGGTTTTTAGGGTTTAGGGTTTTTGAGTTTTAAGTTTTGTGTTTTTGTGTTTTTTTTGTTGGTTTTTGTGGTTTCAGGGTTTTTAGGGTTTAGGGTTTCAGGGTTTCAGGGTTTTTAGGGTCTAGGGTTTTTGAGTTTTGGGTTGAGGGTTTGAAGGATTTTGGGTTTTGGGTTTGGGGTTTCAGGGTTTAGGGTTTTGGGTTTTGGGTTTTTTGTTGGTTTTTTTTGTGTTTAGGGTTTTGGGTTTTGGGGTATAGGGTTTAGGGTTTTTGAGTTTTGGTTTGAGGAGTTTAAGGATTTTGGGTTTTGGGTTTTGGGTTTTGGGTTTAGGGTTTCAGGGTTTTTAGGGTTTAGGGTTTAGAGTTTAGGGTTTTGGGTTTCAGGGTTTTTAGGGTTTTTAGGGTTTAGGGTTTTTGAGTTTTGGTTTGAGGAGTTTAAGGATTTTGGGTTTTGGGTTAAAGGTTTAGGGTTTTGGGTTTACGGTTGTGGGTTTTGGGTCTAGGGTTTTGGGGTTTAGGGTTTTGGGTGTCAGGGTTTAGGGTTTTGGGTTTTGGGTTTAGGGTGTTCAAGTCGTGTTCGCTCGCTCGGGTGAAGACCACCCCGAGCCGCTCGCTCCAGCGTAGCTAAGTCTTTCCCACCCTCGACCCACCCAGACTCGACTCTTTTCGGGTTTGGGGTTTCTACTCCCCAACCCCCTATCAAGGGGAGCTTTTTCCAACCTCCCTTGGCAATCTTGCCAGAGCAACGCCGACGCATTCAATGGGACGCGGATAAAGTGTTTGTCTTGTAGGCGTTGGAAGATTCAACGTATTAAATCAGAGTAGTGCTCATTTGATGCCTATATGAGGCGAAGATGTCGATAACTTCCGGTATATTGAGTGGTCGACAGGGCTCGCCTAGGCTGTCGGCGAGGGAGCGCCCCCGCCAGAGCGCCCCTTTGCCGAGGATCTCCGCCAGAGCGCCGCTCTCCTCCACCTGACAGAAGGATCTTCCCGCCAGAGCACCCCAGAGAGGGGGCCCCGGCCAGAGCAACGGCCCAAATGGGGGGCACCCCGAGATGGCCCACCATCCCACTGTAAAATGCCCCTTTTTCGAACAGAACTTATCACTCCAAAATTTGCTTGCGATTTCGATTTGCCAGACAGCAACCCAAAAAGCCACACCAGAGCACTTTCCCGAGGATCTCCCCGCCAGAGCTGTTTAAGTCGTGTTCGCTCGCTCGGGTGTAGACCACCCCGAGCCGCTCGCTTCAGCGTAGCTAAGTCTTTCCCACCCTCGACCCGAGCTTTTGACTCTGCAGGGCAAGCCCGGCAAGTTGCTGCCATTGCGCATCCCCGGCATGGCGTGTCCGCACCCCGAGCTGCACCTCGTGGCAGGCAAGGAGAAGGGATCCACGTACTATGCGGAGAAGCCAGTGTGGCA